AAAACTTTACTAATAAAAAAGAATACATTCCTACTAACACTTTTTAAATTCTGGGCAACTTTAAGGTTTCTGTCAGTTAATTCTAGAGATCTTAAAACCACATGAGCATCAAAGTATAAAGTATCATATTTAAAATGAGTGTCTTTAAACAACAACAAAAGCTTATTAGATAAAAGTAGAATAAGAAAATCTGTCTTTTTATCTACAGCTGGAGTTTCTTAACTTGTTCAAGATGTGCCTTGAAGTATCCATGAACCCCTAAAGCTGATGCATAATTTTATATATACATGAATTTGTGCATTTTTTCCTAAGAGAAGGATCAATAGCTTTCAGATTTTGAGGTAGCTGTGACCAAGAGAGATCTTGGTATATAATGGAAATTTTAAAACTCTTCAATTAAAAGTCTGAGGAAAAAAATTATAACTTTTTATGAGATCAACAGCCTGCATGACATCAACTGTTATGAAAATGATGACTGGCCAAGAACCTCTTACGTCTTTAGTAGGCAAGATTTCTAAGTTTATATAGTTCACTTTAATACATTCCCCATCCTTGTCTTAATATCCTATAATACTTTGGCTATCTGTGTGACAGTTGGCACCACGTCAAACACTCAGAAAAACCCTTCTATTCTGAAGGTGCGGGGTGGGCGGTGAGGAGCAAGAAAAAGAAATTACTTGAGAATTTCATTCACTCATGTTGAGGTTGACGCTTATAATTATACTTGACCTGTGTGGACAGACAACACCTTTACCAGGCCATCCACTCTCCTTGTTTTACAGACGACTCCTCTGCCATGTTTAGCCTCTTGGGTTGAGAGCCTTTTAACGTTTTCTAAGCCTAATTAAACCTTTTCTTCCTTCAGTTTCTTTCTCCTTTACCTAAGATGTAGAACCAACAGTAGTTCTAATCAGCAAAGGTTCTCTAACAACATCAATGGCTGTTTTTGTTTGTTTGTTTTTCATTTCATTTTCACACAAGGGTACCACTATTTGCACTGCTCAGATATTTTAAAGCTCAATCCTTTATATTTTATAGTGAAATTAAAAAAGAGATCAATGAGTGGAAAGGGAACAAAATTCCCTTTGTTGTTTTTAGTTAGATCTCTAGATCTGTAAGCCAGATAAACATAAAGACAAACTGATTTATATCTGGGGGACACTTTCCAGGAAGGAGGATGTAGGGAGAAATCGGCTATAAGATTTTTCTGAAGGGAAAAATAATTCTGCCAACCAATGGATAACCTGATATTAATTCGCTATTACAAGCATAAAAACTAAAGCTTCTGAGAAAAAAATTCCATTATGCCAACACTCTTAAGCCCCCACCCAAAGTTACAATGCAGTGCTGTGTGAAAACTGGACTTCTTTACAAAAAACACTTACTGGATTTCTTTTCTGCATGTTTCCATGCTTTTCCTGTACTGTGTGGTTGGCACCTAATCTTTCTGAATGCATTTCCTTAAAGTGCTTGCAAATAAAACGGATGCTTTGCTTTCTCTGCCATATTGCAAAAAGAGATGTTTTTATTAAGTGGATAATTCATATCTCTTATTATTTTTTCCTCAAACTCAGCTTGGAAACCAGAACTTAACTGCCAATGTGCTGGAGGTAAATGCTTCACAGGCACACAGACAAGTCCCACCAGAAGCCTCTTCTTCATGCCCTCCTTCCATGGTATCTTTTAACAGAACCACCTTTTTATCAGACAGTGGCTCCAGCCCAGCATCTCTTACCCTGCCACCGCCTGAGGATTCAGGGCTTTCACAACTGCAAAGACCCCCAACCTTTCACATTTTTTTATAAACCCCTTCTCCTTGCTCCTGCCCCCCTATCCAGGGCAACACTGCAGGCTCTCTCACTGCAGACTTCTCCCAGGGCAAGCAATCCTCCTGCTCCTCCAGGGAGTCCCCCCCAGCCACCCTAGATGTGCTGCAGGCAGCTGGCTCTGATACCACTGACCGTTACGAAACACCTTCCCCCACTTTAGGTCACCAGTCTGCCGTGACAGACGGCACCACCTTAACCACCCCTGCTCTCATGCGTGTAATTATTCTTCCTTCATTTGCTCCATCATTTTTAAAACAGATCTCCAAAGGCTAAAAGGACTGATTTCTTATCTGCCATCTGATTTTACGGCTGAGCATTTTTATCTGCCTGGGCATTGATTCCATCTAGATCAATTCTGTACACTGTCAGGGAAATCCATTATAGTCATCCTCATAAGCCTATTTTGGGCTGAAAAAAGTCAGTGTATTCTGTTCATTCATTTTAGAGTCACTTATGTTTACACTGTGTTGCTCTAGCTAATGAGTTGTACAAATTGCCTTAATAAGAAGTTTTCTCAGAAATTCAGATAGGTATACATACAATATTATGATCACTAGATTACAGAGAAAGTCTAAAATTTTAACCCAGTATTAAATCCTGATAGAGAACAGTTTACTTCAGAGATTCACATGAATGTGCCCTGTGTGAACTGTTCATATCTCCTTGTTTGTCACAAACGTGATTATTCACTGTATGATGTTAATTCTTCTTGCTCCTCTCTCATTAACAGCTATATCTCTTAAACCTATCTGTCCAACAGGAGTGAGTGATGTAAATACTCTTAATCTACATTGCAGAAATGTAGCCCTATGATTTTTTGGAATTTTTTTCCCCAAGCCTTTCCATTATAGAAACTTATAAATATTTATCATTTTATATGTCAATAATATATCCCATTTAGAATAATAAATATCCCCATATATATTTATATCATTTAAATGTCTATTTGACAAGCAGTCCCTAATAAATGATTTATGAATGACTAAAGTGCTTCAAAATTTTGTGGCGCAGATTTTTAATTGCATGCAATGTATAGATAATGGCTTCAATTTGAAAGGTACATAACTTTGGGCAAAATAAAGGGAATTTTTTTCTAAAGTTGATTTCATAATGAAGTTCTAAATATGTACTATCATAGAGAAAATTTTAGTCATGCTACATAATTTTTATATTGTAGCAAGGTCATAAATCTGTGAATTCCACGCATGGAGAAATATTATAAACCATATGTTTTTTAAGATACTGCAATTACAGAAGACAAAAGGTACTTTTTAGTATCCTTACTAAATACTTAATAACACTTTCAATGGGCTTCAGTATTCATTCAACAGCTGGGTATAAAACTTTGCACTGAAATGTTCTATTCAGTGACTAGCTACAGAAGGAACTTCGTTTTCCACAGCTAACACGTCCTCTGTCACTTGTGCTAGAAGCACAGTGGGCATGAGCCATTCCATGCTCTACTATGCTTTCAATAATTCTTTACTTTTAAAACTTTAAGGAATGCCTTTAACCAAAAATACAAAATGGTGATAATATATCAACTTTCGTACCAGCCTATTTAATTTACTGTTTCTAAGACTCTTCAGGAACCTGAGAAATATACATATATTTCTGAGAACCAACCCCCTTCCTCTTGTCGAAGAACATACATTCTAAATCCCACACACAGCAGCATGACAACGTTCTGACTACTTACATCATGACAGAAGGGCCAATTCACCCTCCACATTTATTTTATACTGACTCCTACTGGTATCTTTGGACCTCACTGTTGGCGGAGTGGCGTGCCCACTGGTCAGCTGCTTCCTTTCTCCTGATCACCTCTTGTGCCCTCTGACATATACAGTAATTTTCAGAATTAAAAAAAGTAGAGAAGACTGGAAAAAATGTCCCATGGCCTTCTCGACATCAGTCTTCAAAGTAAATAAACACTTGACAGCTGATTACTGTCATGTGAACGGAAGTCTTTATTGTCACCTAAGGCAGTGATGTTTACAAGGGACCATGTGCTTTAACAGAATGTCTTTGCACTTTTCTCAGAGCCAGATAACAGTGAATGGAAACTCTGGAGGCACTGTGAGTCCAATGAGTTACTATCAAAGGCCGTTTTCCCCTTCTGCTTACTCACTACCAGGCTCACTCAATTCAAGCATTATCATGCAGCATGGCCGGTCACTCGGTAAGTCATCTGACAGTCATGATTTTCATGACAATTTCAATATAGCAACTACAAACCGCAGGAGAAAAACATAAAGCATCAACGTAATTTTTGAAAAAGGAAGCAGAAACATTCAACACTCCACTATTTAAAGAACCTATCCTAGGGGAGGACTTAAAGGCAGAGGATTTAACACTGGAGAAAATAGACACCCAGCTATTCCAAGATAATGACTGCACCTTTATCTGGGTCTGGAGAAGGCTAACAGACATTTGAGGTGATGGGATAGAACAAAAACATGGCCAGCGAGGGGAGGAGAGTTCACACCACTGGGAGACATTCATGTAGCACATTTCCAGGGATGGCAAATACTGTCCATGATCAGGACAGCCCTTCTTCAGTGGAAAAGCTTTTATTGTGGAAAATCATTTTGATGTGTCTAAAGAACTGTTTAACAGTTAAAACAGTCTAACAAGGGGATAGGCTGCTTCACAAAGAAGTAAACTACTATGCAAACTGAGACCAGAAGACCATCAGTCAGGGATGTGAGCTCCTTTAGATGATGATTCCAGAATTTTATAGAAAGATAGATCTTAATCCTTTGGGAATTAAGAAACAAACAAAAGATAGAGCTTTCCTCTAGAAAATAAATGAACATTAGAACATTCATATAAATGTTTAAAGATATAATTTCATGGGGCTCATGAACTCTTTAATGCCTCCTGGAAAAGACACTGGGCTGTATAATGCTAGAAATGTTTTTCTGCGGCAAAATATATTATAATGATTTAGAAATAACTTAATATATATTTCTTAGTTTTTAAAAATGTAAAAAAAAAAACAACAAAAAACCCAAACATTGAAAAGCAGACCAAACTGAGTCATCATCTGAATTCAAGCTGAAAAAGGTTCCATGATATTGAGCAACTAGAAAGCTTTCAGGGCAGCAGGAAGCAGGTAAAAGGCAGGGGACCGCGTGCCCGCAGCATACCTCTCAGAAGAGCAGAAGACCGATCCTCGGGTCACCATCAGCCAGCACCCAGAGAAAGAAACTGGAACACAGGGCTTTAACTCCCGTTTCCTCACTGACAGCAGGCAGATCTCTTTCCTGACACTGTGGATTGAGAGAAAACGAGGCTATTAATTTTCCCAGGAACATTCAGCATGTGGACTGTGGAACTCAAATTCTGCGGCCAACAAAACCTCTATAACTAAGACTTCCATGTAGCCATGAGGCCCATTTAAAGAAGAGTCTAAATATACTGGCACCTTCTCTAATGCTGCTCCTGGGATCATCTGTGAATCTTACAATGCTGTCCGGTTAGAGTATAAGAAAGTTTAATGTCTTGGTGCCAAAATATTGCCCTTATATCATCAGCCCATGGTGCAGTATTATAATGGCAGGCCATTATACCTAGATGTCTTATGGAGCTATGCATGATCACACATCCATAGTAAAATTCTACAAGTTATTTTAGCCATAATATTTTCCCAAATAATTACTACCAAAGTTGGATTATTTGTCCCCTCTTGTTAGTCCCAATGCACACAATTTTGTCTCTCCCACCCAAACAAACAAAATACAAAATATTTGTGTGTGGACAGGCTTTTATATTAGAACATGTCAATAGGTAGAATTCACCTATAAACTAAACCACACAGAAAGAAATTCTGTACATAAATATTGAATAAATTCCAACTGGCCAGTGCTCAGATAGGTTCTGAGGAAGATACACAAATCTATTCTGCCCTAGAGAAACTGTATAAATATAAAGTTGATATAAATATAAAGTTGAGGACAAAAAACTGCAAAAATGAGAGTGCACCATGTAAGAGTAGAATAAATTAAACAGCTAACTTGTGATATGTAATAAGTTCAAAGAATTTTCTGAACCATATACGGTTAGAAGACAGTTAACATTGTTTACGCTGGGACTTTGCACATACTGGGTATTCAAAAAGTACTTGCTATTTGATAGAAATACTAGCATCATGGTTGCCCACCCACATCCTCTCTGTAATTAAATGGAAAACCAGAGAGTCAAATATCACATTGTGTCTTAATTTGGAGTTGCTTGGAAAAGATACTATTTTTACATATAATCGCACATTAAGCAGTTTTATTCCTAGCCTTATTCATTCTTTATCAGAAGTGGATTAGAAGTGCTTTTCTGTTGCAAACTAGAACATAGTCATAGTAAGAGCAGTTATAAATATTATAATGGATTTTAGTTTACAGGGGTCTCATCGCTACTTACCCTTCTAATGATGAGTTAAATTTTTAAAAGTCTTATTTATGATTTGCTGTAAAACACAGTCCTATCTTTTTAGATCTATCTGTATTTATATTTGTATCTGTATCTATTTGTAATCAATGACTGCTACCCTGACATAAGGACTTTTCCACATTCACATAAAAAGAGACCTGAGTGACAGACCTGACAAACCATGGCTAAGAATCATTCTTGGTCAACAGAGTTTTGAAATTTAAAATTTTTTAAATTTAAATTTTCAAAAGAATTTAAGTGTATTTAAAAAACAGGAAGTCATCTTATCAACTGTACTAAATAAATGATAATAATGTTGATTTTCATAAATACCTGTACCTATGAGTAAGTAGAATGTGTAATACACGTATATCCTCTCTGTTTCTTATGTAAGTATAGCAAAAGTTACCAAAGATGGCACAAAGATAAACGGCTGATAAATCTCATCTGAAAATGTACGCTTAGGGCAATTTTTACACTCAAGGGGCAAGAAGCCATGGTCTTCCTACTTCAAACTAAAGCAAAGCTATTACGGCCATCATGGAGTCTTCAATAAAAATGAATTACTAACAGTTTAAAATCGTTTCTTTACCTATAAGCCTTCACATCCAAGTACGTATTTGGATGTGAAGATTTCCTAATGTGATTTTTGTTTTCACTTTATTTTTATAAAATCACTGTTGTAGACGCAGGAGTCATGTTTTTTCATCCTAAAAGTACCTTTTAGTACTTTAAAATAA